TGTGTAGGTGAGGAGTGGGGGGAGAGTGAAATTTGTGTCCGTCCCCTTAGTCGTCGTTATTCGATCACTCCGTTCTACTCATCCAGTACACGATACCGTGCGAACGGAACTGTTGACAAGAAACGGTCAGATAAATGAAAACATCAGAAGAAACAAATCAACATCATTCATCACGTTTCACAATCTGGAGTGGATTGGTGCTGGCGAGTTGTTTAAATAAATGGTTGTGGTTGATCATCTTCATTTTTCCATTCAGCTCTGTTGCAAATGCGGATACGTGGGGGTGGGTTGGGGTGAGTGACGAGAAGAGCACAAACAAGGCTTTCATTGGTGATGAGAAGACAAACACTGAGAATAGTAGTTTGACGGTCAGTCAGTCAGTCAGTCAAAAGATGGGCGTAAATCATTTTGAAAGAATTTAACGGAACAATGGAACAATTCAATTTTGATTTCAGTTTGACAGTCTCATTTACAAAACCCACCTGTTATTCAGGGCATAAAGTTACTCCTGGTTCAGACGGTAAGTGCACAAAACCAAAAGAGGACATGGACAGTGTGAGAACATTTTCCCTGTTGGAAGCAGAGGGACGTGTGCGTTAATTACACTATTACCTCTAGTCCCTCTTATTTTTCACCATGACTTCGGAAGCTCAGTAGTTGCAACCAAGTGAAAACATTTAACTGATTCGGTTTTTCATCTAAACAAAGGAATTGCAATCGATGATATCCGCTAGTAAAGCTATAGTGCGACTGGAAACTTTGCATGAATGTTGACTACATTTGCTGCAGGTGAGTTTTGAAGCCACACCAGGAGCCACGGAATTTTACGCATTTGGTTGATCAACTTCCCGAGGAGTGAGCATACCATTAGTCATTGAGAATTGCACCTGAAGGTTGGTGGTACTCCATGACCGCGTTAACTTTCTGAGATAATCGTACACAGACTGCATGTAGTTGGAACGACTAGAATGCAATGCAAGAAATAATCCCGAGACCAAATTGCCCAATTACAACCAGGGAAGAATCGAATAATTTTGGGAGGAACTAGTATGCAACACACGAAAACAGTTGTGTTGTGTAAGATAACCAGCCATTGTTCAAAGTGTAGAAAGATCTTACAAATAAAAGATTCGTTGGTGTCCTCGTATGGAACTGTGAAGAAAACAGCTATCCATTTTCATTGAATGCGACCGACAAAAAGGAATCACGACTATGAGATAACCAATTTGACCAATCCTGTTAATCACGAAAAGGTTATTTGAATGAGCAAGAAAGAACTGCGGATAGAATATATAGTTTTGAAGTGGAGAACTTCCTGTCGTAAATAATCAGAAAATCTCAACCTGAGAAGACGAGACCTATTGCGTGCACATTTCAGACTTGTTTTCTGTCATGTACAATATGCGCTTTTATGGGCCCCACATAGGCTTACAGAATTCCCCTCCCATATTGCTTTGATCACCAAAGAAACAATTAAACTGATACCAGCAACCGCAATAACAATGATCTTTTCTTTTTTAACAGATAGAAAATTTCGCAACAGCCTTGGGTTTCATTGGCAGTTCGAGGATCCGTCGATCCGATTGGTGATCGAACCCGAGGCATCAAAGGTCGAACGCTAGCATACTACCCACTCGGTCACCGATCAGCTGATCCGACCATCCTTTAATACCATACAACACAACCCATCTTTGTTAGGTTAATGCAGGTAGGGCACCTTGCGTGTCTTAGCACTAGTCTCCAAGGTTATGACTCGTTTGAGCAACTGACTGCATGTTACATGAGAGTAGGCTATGGCCCACGATGCATTGCAAGTGGTATGGCGGAGGGTGATACGATAGCGGTGATTGATTGAAAACCACATGAACTCGGGGAGAGAAACTGCGATGACTTACACAACCAATGAACAAGTTTGCTAGGAATATATATATATATATGCCTCATATTTTTTCATTCAATTTTATTTTGTTTCAGTGCATCCCAACCAAATTGCGGGCCTACATAAAACGGCTTAGTAATCACATTTTTTTCTTGCTGAATTCAAATGTGTGTTAAAAAAGAGAAGAAAGGTGATAAAAGTTTATCGCGTTAGTTTTTAACAAGCTATAGACAGGTTTTCAGCCAAAACGATGCCATAGTTGGAGCGAATGGCAGGCTGTGAGCGACATACATACGAGTCCATTTCTAATAAACCGACTTCTCAGCAGCTTAAAATCAATCTTCTACACATGAAGGAGAATTATACGAAGAAAATAGAGGAGTGTAGGAACAAGTGAAGATGCCTTTGTAGAGCAGTACTCCATTACTTCACATGAGCGACTTTACTGGTTAGTCTTCCATCCATCTGTACAATTTCAGACAGAAGCCAGTAGCGGTCGGGACAAAGGTGCATTGGAGGCATCTATCGGTGGTAAGATTCAGACCGGATGAATATGAAGTTCGTAACAAGACGAGAGAGATGTTTCAGTTCTAACTTCTGAATTCGGATTCGCTAGAAGCTGAAACAGAAATGACAAAAATAAAACGCTTCGGTATACTGGAAATAGCGAACAGAGGGAGTCACAGGCAAGCCACTGGTATATGTTGCTCCTTGTAGGACGCCCGAATTATTGAGTGATGTCAATGATTGTCTTTTGTTTTTATCATTTAACAGACTTAGTTCTTTGACAGAAATAATCTATCAGTTATTTAAATGATTGTGGCGCGAAGGTTAACTGAATCTACTAATGGAAGCCAATGTCCCCACATTTGACCGTACGGATTCAAACGAGTAAGGAGTAGTGAACAACTCGGGGTCGAGTAAATGGAGGTTGAGGTAAACGCAAGATGAAAAATACAGTATTCCAATGCTCAGTGCCAGTAGAATAACTGGCGGTATTATTTTCTGCCACAGAGTGGTTTAACTCCATCCCACATACAGGTGTTGACCAAACTCGTGCACTGATAACGGAGATTTTTGATAACCGTCACTCTGAAAATGCATTCACGGAAGTCATATTTTTCACACATGACGGTTGGTATATCTTCTCGCTTGAGCTTGGTGGTAGAAAACGGTTAGACTTGAATAAATATTATTTTTTCACATTTATACAGTTTCTAGAGGGGTTGATTTCAATGTCAAATTCGTTTTATTAACGCGCAGCAGCTAGGATTTTAATTTAATCGGAAACTTTTCCCTCTATCAGAAACAGGGATAAGTCAGCTACCTTGCCATTGGTCGCCAGTGGTAAAGGTGTGCGATGTATTAGATGAAACTTACAAATTCTGTTTGGCAGTTAACTTGGTGGATTCCATCCTAAAGAGACTGCCTCTAGTGCTCAAAATTGAAGAGGAGCAAATGGAACATGGACGAGATGAAAGTGCAATACCTGTATAAAGTCTATGAGTCATTTTAATAAATAAATTACAGTTAGGTTTTCTACTGTGACCTTGTTATCTTACAACTGATGCATTTGCAAAAATCGTTGAACTCGCGAAATTGTACAATTTAATGGTATGTGGCTAATAGAAGTAGCGAAACAAGTGGATATTATATCAGATATGTTGTATCTGATGTGGGGCAATATCATATTCAATCCCGTGAATGAGGCTGGAAGAATAAAGCATTGAGAGGAACAAATGTAATCAAAATCAGGATGTTGCACGAGTTTGGTCAATACCTGTATATTTACAGTCACGTGTTCCTAGAAAATGATCTACATAAAATGGATGCGATTTCTTATTTTGACCTCAACTTAAGTCAAGTTTATCCATTTTATTGGATCGCCGAAGAGGTCTAACAAAAACCCGGAGTGGGTCAATAGAATCGGATCTGAATGGAAGAGGTTTTCGTGTCAAATGAGGTAACATATCTATCTACCTCACAAACGGTGGCAGTGCGTAAAACTGTGACAGTTTATGAACCAAATATGTTAACCCGTTCGTCTAATAGACTGCCCGGAGAGCACTGGACAATAACTCTCATAGTTTGTGTGTTTCACACTGATGCACGTCAATGTCTTTTCATGGTTCGTCCCTTCAGAGAGAGAGATCATGCTATTTAATCTTTATTTGGAATTGCAGAAGCCTCCCAGAAATCGATCTAGCACTGGATTTCATTCGCACCTGATTAGAATAGGGTAGATTGCAGTTTTTAATATTCAACAAAAGCGATATGTAACAGATTCCACGTAATAGTAATAATAATGATGATAAACAAATAAAACGATTTTACTTCGTTTTCTTATTTATTGATCATAAAAGCGTGCAATGTATTTTTAGGAAGACGGCTGTGGCCATACACAGATATTGGGAGTGTGATTAAACACTGCGAAGGCGATATTCACTACATTCATCTATTGTCTCTATCTCCCTCTCTCTCTCTCGTAGATAATACAAATCATGAATGCGGGTCAGGTACCATTCCAACTTGGCAAGACATTGGGCAACATCATTGATCGTTATGTCCACGCTGGCCGAAAAGAAATCGCTCCCCATTAGTGCAGGCTAGTTGAGTGAGTTGTAATTTGTGATTCAACACACCGAGAACAGCAGCAGTGAAGTTTATGCTGCAGCCGATGGCGAAGCATTTGCAAAGATAGACTAGTCGATGCGCTTCTCATCAGGGTTCAAAGGATCGTTCGTTTTTGCGGTGAATCAACAGGTGCAACCAGAATGTGACGTGCCAGTTCACTTGTGAAACGCGGTTCTCGGTAACTATAACATTGATCAGACAGAAGCGCGGTCAAACAGCATCGGCAGATAAATGGTTCAGTACCAGGGATATCCAACAAATTGGTTACGAATTAGAACCGAAAATTTTAAGTTAAATATTAAACGAATATTCACTTAGAAATTTGTGCGAAAATTCACCAAAAAGCTGGAGCACTTTTGAAATTGTCACATAACAATGGGAAAGCTGTTACAATTCCACGTTCTACCTAACCTCGGCAATTATGGAAATTAATTCACCGGAATTTAGTCACTACTCACGAATCTATGGGAATCAGCCGTAAGGTTTGCCACATGTAACCAAGACAACACCAAGTCGGTCATCTGGAACCATATAAAAAACCTACCCAACACTCCGAGTTCACTAGTTCGTTCAGCTTTTGAAAGTGGCCAACTGAGTTCCAATGGCTGAAATTCAGTGATCAGATGATCAAAATTCGCTACTGATACGGAAACATAGGCTATACCAAGCGGGTAGATAAACTACAATTGTTCTATCCCCTATCCAGATTGTCAGGTGACCCAAATGCTTGTCATGTCTGCGTGGTTTCCAGTTCGATCTGTTCCCAAGGTTAGTCACTGCCACTGTTGATGACACCCAGCCCGGTCAGCACAAATAGACAGTATTTTCTGGTTATCCAGTTGTCCAGATCTCCTTTGTGCTATATAAATGAGGAAATCGTTCAGACGAACACTGATTGACATTCATTGGATCACGTCGTATCAGACAGATGAAGTTGATTTTCCAAGTCTCATTGTTATTCTTGTGCCTCACGAATTGCTTCAGAGAATTGGAGATTCGGGACAGAAGTTTAGAATAAATTTTCCTTCCACCATCCCATCACTATATCGGGATCAGGTGTGAGCACATGCATTCCTTTGCCATTTCA